GTTAAAGGTCCTCGCCTTGCACGCCCGGGATCCCATATGGGCGCCGGTTCTAATCCCGGCAGCCCGGCTTCCCTTCCAGCTCCCTGCCTGTGGCCTGGGAAAGCAGTCGAGGACAGCCCAAAGCTTTGGGATCCTGCACCCGCGTGGGAGACCCGGAAGAGGCTCCTGGCTTCGGATCGGCATAGTATTGACCCGTTGCGCTCACTTGGGGAGTGAATCATCGGATGGAAGATCTTCCTCTCTGTCTCTCCTCTCTGTATATCCGCCTTTCCAATGAAAAAATAATAAAAATAAATCTAAAAAAAAAAAAAAAAAAAAGAGAAGGGAAATGGAAAAGCTCCCTGAAGTAGGATGGGAAGCAGTCTACCCAAACTGCTTCTCATTATGGGTATCCATGTTGCCCCAATTTTCCACTTTCTGATTTTGGCTGAAGCATGTTAGGTCTTCAGCACTTCAGACTTCTGCAGGCTTACCTCCAGGGACTGAATGCTGATCCCTGCACACATCCCCCAGTGCCCACGCATGTCTGAGTTCAGGATCTCCTATGGCGTACAGGAAAATGAACAGAGAGGTCTTGGGCATGAATGAGGAAAGATGTAAGGCTTCAACCCTGATTGAGTTACCTTTCCCTTTGTTAACAGTTCGGATGGACTGAAGAGAGAGGACAAATGGGATGGGGGGACAGAGGAGACCACGGCACAAAGAATCCAGAGTCCCAGCTGGCACCACTCAGGCTGCCATGGTGGCTGGCCAGGGGTCAGAAGGGTTTCATGTCCTGGCCCCTGATTCTTGGTCTCCACTCCTGTAGCTTGCATCAAGAGTCAATAGCCTGAGTTTTCAGCAACACTCAAGGATGATCTTGGCAGCTAAGCTCCAAGGTCACCATTCCTTGGTGCCTGGCTGGCTTTTGGATCCCAGCTTGTCAATTCCTTGTAGTTCCATGTTTGAGTCAAAGATCATCGTCTACATCGGCAATCTTTGTTAAAAATTCAGGACTGAGAACAGGCTCAGAATCAAGATGGCGGAATAGGGTAAGGACACGTTTAAATGGACAGAGAACAGGCCCAACTGCACTTTGTACAGCTCCTAGCAGGTGTACAGTATGCCAAGGGGTGTTCTTGGGGCCCGAGAGAGTGCTGGAATGTTAATTATTTTCATTCACATACTGTGGACAGAAATTTCAAATCTGAAATTGAACCTACTCTAGTATGTAATTTCACAAGATCCCTAGAGGCACTTGTGGCCACATGACACAGGCCCCACCAAACTTTTACCCTTCTTGCCATCTTTCTAGCTGGAAATCACTGATTTTGGGACTTTGGTGTACAAGGCAGTGGGCCACCACTGCACATCTCCCAGGGATGACAGAGTATTGATGTGCACACATCACTGCACACAGCCCCCTCAAGGAGGAAAGGAGTGTGTTAGGACCCAAGGAAAGCCAGTGGGTGGCCCTGCCTGTCAAAGGCTGGAAGCACCACGTGCTGTCCCAAAGCCTGAAAGTCCTAGGCTGCCAGGAGCACATGCCCTTCTGACAGTCCCTGGAAACACGGCTATGGGGCTGGGGTGGTCTGACACTGCTGGAGCAGGCACCTGAGCATCCAAGCCCCACGCTGACTTGGAGCATGCCCCCATCCTCCAGGAGCATGGCTTGGAAATTAAGAAGCAAGCCCCGTGGTGATCCCTCTGAACTCCGGTGGAGCACCCAGGTGCATCTCTGTGAACTTCTACCCCTCCCTGTCAGTCACCCTGCACAGCCTCGGCAGGTGCAGAGGGAAGGGAATTCAAGGTCAGATTCAGAATCTAGGGCTTTAGTACCCCCATTAACAGCCAGTGACTCCTTCCATCCTGCACAGGTATAGCCCTAAGCATGCCCAGTCTCCCCACCTCATTCTGCCTTTCACCCCACAGCCCTGAGATGTGAGTCCTGTTAAAGCAGCCTGGCTTTCAGACTCACTGCATTTCCCAACTGGAGCTCACACTCATGTTTTAGCTCAGTCCTGCACCTTGCATTACCTGTGACCATTCTCAAGTCACTCCTCTCCTCAGGCCAGCTGTGAGACCACGTCCCTATCTCCAGCCCCTGAGTTCACAGTTCCAGGTCCTAACCTAGAATGATCCCTGAGTAACTTCCTCAGAGACCGATAGGGCTGGTATTGGCCACACGCTACTCAGAGCAGGGGTTAAGGCTCATGGAGGCAGCGCCGGCTCAAGTGTACAGCTGTCGGCCCTGGGGGACCAAGCACGAGGACCTTCAGTTGACCCACTTGCCCCATCTCCAGGCAGACCCTTTCCTGGGCTGCTACTGGAGCTACATCCCCACAGTCCTTCCCTGGTTGGCTTCACTGCATCACAGATGCCCAATTTAACTGCCCATGCTCCTTCACACCCGTCAGAGAAGGCCTCCCTGTCCATGGCAAAACACACACAGTACCGTCAGCTCGCTAGTGTGAGCTGCCAAAGCCCACCTGCCCCACTTGGGCCACCATCAGGTAGGGTTTAAGTGCGCGTAAGAAAAATGCTTATTTAAAAAAAGGCTGTGGGGTAAGGCTTTTGCAGCTTATCACATACCTGGGGTGCTACCATGGCACAGGCAGCCAAGCCTTCTAGAGCCAGAGCACTCCATGTCAGTGTGTGTACTCCAAAGAGGACTGCCAAGATCCAAGTCACATCTACCACATACTGGTCATGTGAACTGGGACAAGTGCCTCCACACTCGTGTGCTTCAATGTGATCCCAGCAACCACAGCATAGAGATGCAGCAGGACCCACATCCCCTTGTGGACTCCAAGTCCACTGAGAACCAGGTGTGAGAGTCAACGTGTGGGTACTACAAAACCCCAGGGTGCTCATGTCTACACTTGGAGTGAACTCATACAGCATAGCACCAACCCCAGCACACACACACTCCCATCACACAGGCTACTGGCCACAGTGACTACAGCACGTCTCAGGACACTGCTACCCCACAATAGAATGCCTGGGTGCAAATGCTGGCTCTGCCTCTGATTGAATTTTCTGGTAACACAGCAGCCCACGAGGTAGCAGGGGCTGAGCTGGGTTTCTTCCATCCACAATGAGACCCAGATTGAGTTCCAGGCCCTTGGCTTCAGCCTTGCCCGGTCATGTGTCGCCATCTAGGCATGTAGAACTCTCAATTCATCTCTTGCCTCTTTGAAATAGAAAGTGATTACATATATTCATATACAAATATACTTGGTAATCCATTGCAGAGACGTGGAAATGGGTTGAGAACAAGTGCCCACAGCCACGCCCCAGGAAGCCAGGCCTCAGGACCTGAAGCCAGGTCACTGCCCCTAAAGCCACTGCCCTTAGTAACCAGTGTTGCTGACCATAGCCAGCTCTCAGGCCACAAACTAAATGGTGCACCAGCACATCCACCATCTTCACCTGCAACTGTCATCTGAACAAGAAACAGCATCTGGTTGGTTTGTTTTTAGGGGAGAAAAGTGTGCTACCTGGTTTATTCCCCAAATGCCCTCAACAGCTTGAAATGGAGAAAGACCAAAGCTGGGAGCCAGAAGTTTGATCCTGGTCTTCCACGTGGCAGTGAGGACTCAAGTGCTTGAACCATTCTTGCTGTCTCCCAGGGTCTGCATCAAGCAGGAAGCTGGAGTCGGGGGTGGAGGTGGGCATCAAACCCATTCCAACACAGGGCCTGCTAGACCCAAAGCTACCTCTGAATTATGTTTTTTAAATACAAAAGGCTACTACAGTCTTGAGAGTTGGAGCAGCAAGGGCTTTCATATCCCCCCCACTGCACTTTCCTCTGCCCTGTGTTAGATCTCGGCTTTCTCAGAGAAGCCCAGCTCTCAGGGGAGAACCACTAGGTTTGGCACAGCCTTTACTTATTAGGGACTGATATATGACAACCATGGCTCCACAAGGACAAATGCTACAATAAGGTCAATGAACATCTATCGTCTTGTTCTTGCTAACACAAAACAAGGGCTTCTTCAAGGGGACGCTGCTGTACACATTTCATATGCCTTCTCCAGGAGCAACTGGCTCAACTTTCCTAAGGAAGTCATCCTGTAAAAAGGCCTCAATGGCCGGTGCACATGTTATTAGTCATGTGAGGCCACTAAAAGCAAGAAATTCATCAAGCATTGCACAGTTGTGGATATAACAAACCTTTCCTCTTGTGTATAACTTGGTGCCATGTTCAAGTTGAAACAGGGTAGGCCTGGGGCAGGTATTGGGCATAGCAAGACACCACGTGCAACACCTGTATCCCCAGATCAGAGGGGGCCTGCACGTAGGTCCTGGCTCCACTTCCAATTTCAGCTTCCAGCTACAGTGCACCCTTGGGGGCAGCAGCAAGTCACATTCAAGTCCTTGGGTCCCTGCCACTTGCGTGGGAGCCCCAGATGGCATTCCCAGTTCTTGGTTTCAGCTTGGCCTTCTGTCCACATGGACATGTAAGAAAGGAATCAACAGAGAGCATGCACTCTATCTGACTCAAATGTTTTAAAAAAATTATATGTCTCCTCACACAGGAGTCTTACGCAATGGCACTAAACAGGCTAGAAATTACGGTGAGGCCTTTGGAACAAGATCTCAATGAAGTGACCACACTGGATTAAGTCCCCATGGCTTAGTGATGGTTTTTTAAGCAGAGGAGACACTAGGAAAACAGCACCCCAGCCCTGAGCTCCCTCTCACACCGTGATGTTCCATGCCACTACTGGACTCCTCCCACAAGAGCAGCACCACCAGAGATCAGCCAAGAGGACCCGCTGGAGTGGACCGTGAACCTGCAGGACCATGAGCCCACATGAAACCTCTTTTCTTTCTTTAGTTCAGCCACTCTGGTCATTCAGCTCATGAAAAGCTAACTGGATACACACAGCCAGAAGATGGAAAAGCGAATTTCCCTCCTGTTTATGCAGTGACTTGAAAGGAGAGGGGAGAACGTTCTCTTCCACTCTGTTAAGCCAGGCGGCAGGGGCATCCGGGAGGATGGGAGCGACTCTTACCTGTGCAGTGAAGAAGGCTGGGGTGAGGGAGCCCGAGGGGAGAGCTGGGCTGTTGAGGGCAATGGAGCCTAGGTCGGTGCCGGACAGCACCAGCGGGGGCGCGGAGATTTCCAAGCCTTTGGGCTTTTTGGCCTTTGGGGGCAGAGACGGAGACTTGGTCTTGGAGCCCGCCGACAGGTTCAAGGGCTCCAGGGAATCCGAGTCATGGCAGGCTGCCTCGAGGAAGAGGCCTCTGTGTTCAGAGGGGAGGGGTGAGGTGGGAGACAGGGATGGGGACCGGGATGAGGAGGAGGGCGACGAGGAGGAAATGCTGGCGGCAGCGCTGGGCAGCATGAGAGAGGTGATCTTGGCGGAGACGGACGAGGCCAGGAAGGCGGAGGCAGCCGCAGCCTCCGACGTGGAGGGCAGGGATACCACGGGCCTGGTGCTGTGTTTGTCGCTCTTGTTGGTCACAAACCTGATGACAGTCCGGACCTCGTCCAGGGAGGCACCATCTTCGGGTGGCTCGTCGGGCTTCTCGGTCTTGATGGCCTTGAAGGCCTCGGGGCCGTGCTGCAGCGAGTTGATGGTAAAGGAGGAGTACAGGCCCGAGTGGATGTACTCGTTGCGGCTGGCGCTCTTGAGTGCTGCCAGGCCGTGCCTGTGCGCCTCCCGGCCCTCGCCGCTGGGGCCCTTGCCCTCGCCGTCCTGCAGCAGCAGGCCCTCCCGGCTGAGCTCCACCGCGTGCGGATCCATCTTCAGGATCTCCGGGAAGGAGACGAACTTGTACACAAACTTCTGCCCAATCACCTTCTTGATGATGTTCTGTGAACACAGAAGGGAGACACTGAAAAAAGCAGCTTGAGGTGCTGCATGGTGGTTCAACAGGCTGATCCTCTACCTTAAAGCGCCAGATCCCCTATGAGCACCACTTCATGTCCTGGCTGCCTCCACTACCTATCCAGCTCCCTGCTTGTGTGATGGAAAAGTAGTGAACAATGGCCCAAAGCCTTGGGACCCTGTGTCCATGTGGGAGACCCCAAAGAAGCTCCTGACTTCAGATCAGCTCAGTTCTAGCTGTTGTGAACATTTGGGGAGTGAAGCAGCAGATGGAAGCTCTATCTCTCCTTCTCTCTGCAAAGTTATTTTTACTGGAAAGGCAGATTATCTTAAAAAGGAACATGAGCTGGCAAATCTGAGAGATGAACCTGTTGCTGGGACAAACACTAAACGAACGTTCCTGCCAGACACATAGACAGGCATGCGCACACGTGCACACATGCGGGAAGTGGTGGGAGGAAGAATAAAGTGAGAAGCAGAAAAACGAGTTTGGCAATCCAGTTCAGCCAGTTCCAAGGTGGGGGTGGGGCGTGACCGTCAGCGAAGTGATTGACATTTTTGTTCTCATCATCTGTCCAAGGAAGACCATTAGCACTAGTCATCTGGCAACCCCCTGCCCTTTACCAGGGTTGGCATGGCTGCTCTTACTCAGGCCTTATCGAATCAGCATGGCCGACCCCAGAGGAAGGCAGTGGCACTCCCATTTTTCAAGTTAGGAAATCAGCGTGGAAGCTGCTGAGAATTCACCCGGGCACCTGGCCCACCAGTGTGGAGGCCACGCTTCCTCCAGCAGAATACAGCATTGTCTCACCTGCCTCCGGAGGCCGTGAGAATTTGTGAAATAATCATGGGAAAAAAAAGTGTGCCCCAAGCCGGAAGGCAGTGTTGTGAAACTGGTCACTTATGGTCACCAAACACCACAGCATTTTCTTGGGTCATGGAGCCACTCCCCTGCCCCCACACCCCTCCTTTTCATTTTCTGCCAAAACAGCCAGCCACTGGAGGCAAAATGACTGCCCACGTGGAGATGAACGGCATCCCCTTGCGGTTCTTTGGTTTACACCAGTCATTTTCAAAATGCCAGGATGTAAATGACAACTGAAAATGGTCACCAAAGAGGTTACAGCCCTGTGGGAGAAAGGTCGGGGGGACCCCGCAGTTCATCTCTGATTTCTAGCAAAGACTGGACTCATCTTGGGGTTGGCTACAGTGATATGTGTAATCCCCTCAGACACCACAGGACTGTATGTTTATCTAGCAAATGCTCATCAGGTGCCTCTGCCAGTGGCTGACTCAGCAAGGGTCAAGGTGCTGTGGGGAGAAACACAGTCCCCTCAAGTACAAAGAACTAGCACCATCCTATGGAAAAGGTCTTCTGAACACGTCTCATCAATGGCACTTGCTGTAACCTGGTGTGAGCAAATCTGAAAAAAGCCCGTGGTGGGGGAAGGAGGGACAGCAAGATGGCTCAACTGGCTGATCCTTCCCCCTGCAAGCACTGGCATACTATATGGGCAACAGTTTTTTTCCCAGCTGCTCTGCTTCCCATCCAGCTCCCTGCTTGTGACCTGGGGAAGCAGTCGGGGACAGCCCAAAGCCCTGGGACCCTGCACCCAGAAGGGAGACCTAGAAGAAGCTCCTGGCTTTGGATCAGCTCAGCTCCAGCTGTTACAGCCATTTGGGGAGTAAACCAGCGGGTGAATATCTTTTCCTCTGTCTCTTCTTCTCTCTGTAACTCTGACTTTCCAATAAGCACAAATCTTTTTAAAAAAGAAGAAGAAGAAAGAAGAGAAATCCATCAAGGGAAAAAGTCAGAGCAGCAGCTCTGAGTGCCTCTCCACCCCAGGCGGGGCAGGCGGGGCAGGCGGGGCAGGCGGGGCAGGCGGGGCAGGCGGGGCAGGCGGGGCAGGCGGGGCAGGCGGGGCAGGCGGGGCAGGCGGGGCAGGCGGGGCAGGCGGGGCAGGCGGGGCAGGCGGGGCAGGCGGGGCAGGCGGGGCAGGCGGGGCAGGCGGGGCAGGCGGGGCAGGCGGGAGGCCCCCACACACTGCTGCCCTCCCGTGTGGGATAGCAATGGGCCCACTGAGCCCCATGCAACGTGACCTCATCTTCGCACACGCACTAACAGGTGACCCCTCAGGCCGGATGGGCAGTTAAGCACTCCTGGGCCCATGGATAGTGTCTCTGAAGCACACATGGTGAGTCAGCATCACTGGATATGTCCGACCAGCTGGTCTACCTGAGTGAGCCTCGCGAGCACCTTGCCCTGGAAGGTGGGTGCTTTCCCCGCTAGAACTCTAAGGTGTTCTTGCTTTCAGCTCATTATATGTTCCCACACAAGGGAAATTTTTCCTCCCTCAGGCAATTTAAATACGCATCTACACTGGGCAAAGTTATAGGGCCTAAATACACATAGGAAGAGAAATGCCTGATCTGAAACATTATTTTCTGGTAGGTCTCATATACTAATTGCTTTTTTTTTTAATTAAAAAAAAAAAAAAGGAGGGGACTTCCATGTTATTACAGGTCCTGGACATGATGTCTGCCTGAGCAGGCACCGTCATATCCATGAACAAACAGAGGAGTAATTTAGGGCCAATACCCAAGTTGCAGAAGATGGCCTTTCTTCTTAAATAAATAAATAAGTGGGATTTGAAAGGCAATCTCAGCTGAAGCTGGGCCTGGATGTGTTGAAAGGAAAGTATGGGGCAGGGCCCGGCCAAGCGCATGTGGACCAAGTATGATCGGCAGAGGTGGTAACGGGCTGCGGCACGCAGTCCCCGACTCCAGGGAGACCAAGGAGCGAGCCGAGACCAGAGTAAAGAAAGCCAGAAATCGTGTGGCTACCATCGTACGTTCTGTGCTGTGTTCAGAACCTCCACAGGCGTAAGGCAGCCTGCGGTTAGCCAGGATGGAGAGGGCTGGAAGGAGTGGGGAGGGCTGAGGGCTCCAGGGTTCCTTGCGGGGAGTTAAGAAAATGTTTAGGCGCATGTTGCAGGACTGAGCCGCCTCCTCCAGCAGGTGGCAGCTCACCTGTCTGCCTCCACAGGTCCAGGAGACCCATAGTCAGCTTCTACTGGAAGCCGACGCCTCCTCCCCCAGCCTTCCACCACAGTAACATACACCAGCCAGAAGCATCATCACCATGACTTTCACATTCAGACTGAAGCAAAAGCAGAACACAAACACTACCTCTGCCAATCCCAGGACAGTGTGATCAGAATGAACCCTAGGGGGGCTAGTATGATGGTAGAGCAAGGAAAGCTGCCACCTGCAGTGCCAGCATCCCATCCAAGTTCCACTTCTGAACCAGCTCCCTGCTAACACACCTGAGTGGAAGATGGCCCAAGGGCTTGGGACCCTGCACTCAGGTCAGAGACCACATGGAGCTGCCAGCTTTGACCCGACCTGGCCCGGCCATGGCCTTTGCAGTCATTCGGGGAGTTAACCAGTGGATGGAAGTGCATAAGGTCTTTCTCTCTCTGCCTCTTCCTCCCTGTAACTCTTTCAAATAAAATAGATCTTTAAAAAAAAAAATCAGCCTCTTAGAAGGCTGTGCCTGTTCTTGCTTCATCTAGAATCCTGGGTGGCATGCCCCGCCCCCCACCCAGTGGAACTGCATCTAACTTAGATATCTCAGCAAGCAGAGGGGACAGGATGATTCATTTAGCTGGGGTCAGATAAGATACAGGAACAGCCTATGGTGCCTAACACGGAAGCTCCACAGTGAAGAAACCTCACAGGAGACATTAATTCCCTTGGGGGGGGTGGGGGGCCGCCAGCTGGCCTGCAGGGAACAGCAGCCCTACGCCAGGGCTCTGCGCAGGTGGCCCGGGAGGCCCACAGAGGTGAGGCAGACACTAACCAGGCCTGCAGCTGAGCTCAGCCAGAGCTGAGGCCTTCCAGATGAGGAGGGAGTGGCCTAGCTCCCTGGAAGAGGCCACAGCATGGCCCCCTGCCCCCTGGCCCTCCGGCCCTGGGCAAGAGCCCAAAGTGCAGAGTCCTGGCACCGAGACCCACAAAGAGATTGGATTCCATGTTCATCCCGGTACATCCTCCATCCACACTGAGGAGCTGTGCAAAGGTGGGGAGGACAGAGCTAAGGACAGCAGATACTGCGCTGAATACGTGGTGTAATATGCCCTGCTCTTCAACAGGGGAGCTCCAACCCACTTTCCGCCTCATGAGGTGGGTGACATTCGGAGGAAAGCTCACGCTGCAATACTACATGTTGGCTCTGTGGGCTCTACTGTTCACCTGTTGGCAGGAGGAGGGAAAGTAGCACGTCCACGGTGGCTCCACTGCTTTAATGAAATTTTCTATGTATTAACAAAAACAGAAAGAAAAACCAATCTTTCAAGGTGTAGAAGAAAATGTAGTGGTGACTTTAGATGCTTTGCTTCTCTGCATGTCCACATTTTGAAAAGGACATTTAATCTACATCCTTTGTCAAAGTAAAATTTATCTACTTATCAGGAAGAGGAAGAGGAAGAGAATTATCTTCCATCTCTTGGTTTTGTCTTATTCCCCTAATGGCTGCCATGAACGGGTCTAGCTCAGGCAGAAGGCCAGAGCTTTGCTGGGGGTCTCCCACAGTGGGTGAGGGGCCCAAGCATGTGGGCCGTCCGTCGCTGCTTTCCCAGGCACATCAGCAGGGAGCTGGAGCAGAAGTGGAGCAGCTGGGTCTCAGGCTGCTGCTCCTCTGGAGTATCAGTGTCACACCGCTACACCACCTCATCAGCCTCAAGACTTTTATTTATTCAAAAGAGGAAGAAACAGGCTCTAGTAAGCTCCCTAGCCCAAGGTCACACCGCTTGCAATGGGTGGCGCTGAAGCTGAACCCAGCAGGGCCTAGAGCTGAGCAGCGCCATGGCCGCCCCTCCCCCAGGCCCAGGGGTTGGTGTTCCCTGGTCCCTGGGGGTGGCTAGCTGCAGGGTGCCAGGGACAGTGGCTCTGTCCATGGCTCCTACTTGAGCACACTTACAGCC